ACCACCACCACCACTACTTCCATTACCAACATTACCTCTACCACTACTATCTCCACTTCTTTGTTCCTCCTCTCTTTGTCTCATCCCTGTCCTCCTCTCATATATACTCTGGCTCCCTTATCTTCGTATGTTAGTGTGTGACTAGTTAAATGCCCAAGTTGGATCAAAACATTGCCATAAGTTTCTTTCTCCTATATGCGGGTTACTTGTGTACTGTTCCAGTCAAGGTATTGTGCCTTTTTGTTTTCTTCTGCAGGATTCAATATGATTCAGGCCTGCCTGGATCAAATTTCAAACCAAAAGCAGAAACTGTATATACATACAGTGCCCTCTGTGCCTGACATAAAATTTATTCACTGTCTCCCCATGCCATTTACCACCACCATATCTTCGTAATTAGTTATTAGCTATAATAAGCTGACCACTAATAATAATGATTTAACTAAACCATGACAGGTTGCCCATATGAGTCCCCAGGGGATTTTAAGTTATCACATGTGGTAGATCTAGGCTGTGCATAATATTTATTTTGTGGCTAGGAAGCAGTTAATACATGATAAACTTAGTTTGGTTGGTATAGCAAAGTTCATGCAGTTTAGACAAATTAAAACAGAAATAGCATTGGAGGAAAGCCTGGGAGGAAAAGGCTGAATTAAAATTCAAGAGGTATTTATTTATAATTTAAATTTGAGAAGAAAATATGGTCTAGGCTGCTCTAATAAGCAATGTTTGGCATGAACACTTATGTGTAAGGAGAAAAAAATAACCCAAATACATCCTACAGCCATAATGCATATTAACAGATCTTTTCAACATGCTGGCCATCTCACATTAGAAAAAATGCAATAACTATTTCTGTCTACATTATCTAGCTCTTATGCAATACAGAAAAATTATACTTCTTGGTATACAAGTATGCATTTGCTTTAAGTAGACTGTGTGGAGATCAGTGCCGATGCATAAATGGTACTAGCACATCTCTGCTAGTGGCTATATACCCTCAAAATTTTCCTAACAATTTGGAAACTGTTTCTGTCACACTTAACACTTGCTTCCTCTTCCTATTATTTTATTATTAACCCTTACCTGTCCAAACATAGACCTACGTTCACGTGCATAACGCTCCGACCTTTATTTTCTCCATTTGAAAGCATGTAAAAAAAAATGTATATCTACGTTTGGAGCATTACGCACGTGATCATAGATCTACGTTTGGACAGTTTAAGGGTTAAATTACATTTTTCTGGTGTCTAAAATAATAATGATTCAGGTTCTTTTATCATCTAAAAAACTTTTTCCACCTTACTTAAGATTATCAAACATCTCCTATATAAATACATAAGAACATAGAACATAAGAAAGAAGGAACACTGCAGCAGGCCTACTGGCCCATGCGAGGCAGGTCCAAGTCCCCCACCTGCCCAAGCCAATGCCCCAACCTAGTCAGGTCAGATCACATTCACTGATCTAATAGCACTGATATAACAGCATCTGATCTAATAGCACAAGCCAGTCAGGTCTAACTCACACCCACTCGTGTATTTATCTAACCTATTTTTAAAACTACATAATGTTTAAGCTTCTATAATGGTACTTGGGAGTTTGTTCCATTCATGCACAACTCTATTACCAAACCAGTGCTTTCCTATATCCTTCCTGAATGTGAATTTTTCCACCTTAAAACCACTGCTGCGAATCCTGTCTTGGCTAGATATTTTTAGCACGCTATTTACATCCCCTTTATTTATTCCAGTTTTCCATTTATACACCTCAATAATATCCCCCCTAATTCTATGCCTTTCTAGAGAGTGCAGATTCAGGGTCCTCAGTCTATCCTCATAGGAAAGACTTCTGACACATGGGATCTACTTTGTCATCCTCCTTTGTACGTTTTCCAAAGCATTTATATCCATTCTGCAATACGGTGACCAAAACTGTGCAGCATAGTCTAGATGAGGCCTAACCAAAGATATATAGAGCTGAAGAACAACCTGAGGACTCCTATTATTTATGGTTCTTGATATGAAGCCAAGGCTTCTGTTCACTTTATTGCAAACACTTATGCACTATTGTCTTGGTTTTAGATTACTGCTAACAAGAACTCCCAAATCCTTTTTGCAAACAATAATATTAAGATCTAAGTTATCTAGAGTATATGTGGCATGGTTTAGAACTTTGCATTTATCTATATTAAACTGCATATGCCACTTTCTCTCACCACTGCATCAATCTATTTAAATCTTCCTGGAGTGCTCTACTGTCCTCGTCAGAATGAATTTGTCGGCCTATTTTGGTGTCATTGGCACACTTGCTTATATTGCTATTTATTCCCTCATCTTTGCTGTTTAAGCAGATTGTGAACAGCATGGGGCCCAACACTGACTCCTGTGGAACACCACTCGTGACACTTCCCCATTCTGATTTCTCCCCATTTATGCAAACCCTCTGCTGCCTATTTGCCAACCATGCCTCTATCCAGGAAAAAATCTCTCCCATTCCATGTGCCTTAATTTTCCTCAATAGTCTTTGATCATTACCATGATCTACCTCCTCAAATACTTTAGTGAAAAAAGCTAATAAATACGTAAGGCAGGAATGACCTTTTGTGAAACCATGCTGAGATTTGTTAATCAATTTATGCTTTTCAAGATGGCTACGAATTGCCTCGGCAATTATTGATTACATAAATTTTCCCACTATGGAGGTTAGGCTTACTGGTCTAGAGTTCGAAGCTAAGGACCTGTCACCTGCTTTGAAAATAGGTATCACATTTGCCATTTTCCACTCATCTGGTACTATGCCAGTTTGTAGTGATATGTTGAAAAGATTAGCCATAGGTTTGCTAAGCTCCTCTTTACATTCCTTTAGAATCCTTGTGTACAGTTCATCAGGGCCTGGAGATTTGTTAGGTTTTAACTTATTTATTTGTCTAAGGACCATGTCACTTGTGACCCTAATTGTGCATAGTTTATCATCATCTTGTTCTACATAATTTATTATTTCTGGAATATCGGTAGTATCTTCCTGTGTAAAAACTGAGAGGAAGTAAGTGTTAAAAATTCTACACATTTCCTTATCACTGTTGGTGAGCTGACTCAAGTAACTTTTGAGTAGGCCTATCTTGTCCTTAATCTTACTTCTGTATACCTGAAAGAATCCTTTTGGGTTAGTCTTTGATTCTCTTGCAACTTTAACCTCATAATCTCTTTTTGCTTTTCTTATTTCTTTTTTTATTTCTCTCTTTAACTGAATACTATATCTTAACTGCCCCTCTCCTCTTCTGACCAATGAGATGTTTTAATTTGTGATCACTTTCCCCAAGCTCAACATTAACCTCAAGATTATTAATTAGCGATTCCCTGCTGGCAAGAACCAAGTCAAGCAGGTTATTTCCTCTAGTTGGTTCTGTCACAAACTGTTTCAAAAAATAATCCTGAATCATATCAAGAAAGTCATTTGACTTTAAATTTCCTGTCAAATTGCTCCAGTCAATTTGTCTTAAGTTAAAATCTCCCAATAGCACAACAGTTTCATATGTAGATGCCTTACAAATTTCACCCCATAGAAGTTTACTGCACTCCCTGTCAAGGTTTGGGGGCCTGTAAATCACACCCAAGATTAGTTTTTCACGGCCCTCGAGAAGCTGTAACCAAACAGATTCAATGGTTGACGCTTCTAATTTTATATCTTGTCTAACAACAATTTAAATTGTCTCTGATATAATCACTACTCCACCACCCTTCCTGCTGACCCTATCAGTGTGGAATACATAATTTATAGTCTAATCATCCAATTTTATGGAAAAAAACTCAAGATTAAACCCTTTCACTGTCGGTGCTGTAGTGCTGAGGCTTGCAAGTCAGTGCTGGTGCCATAGTACTACACCAAAATTCTAGCGGCTTCAAATCTAGCGGGAGAAAGCTGGTAGACCTACATACGAGAGAATGGGTCTGAGTGGTCAGTGTGCACAGTATAAAAAAAAAATCCTGCAGCATGCAGTGCATAACAAGGAAAAAACCTCCATATTTTTGGTTTAAAATACAGACTCTGCGGTGTACTTTCGTATGGTATTTATGATCGTATTCTCGTTTTCGTGGTCTCATATGACAGAATGGAAGATATATTACAAAAATAGAGATGATATTGAATGGTTTATGGACTAAAAGTACCTTGAAATTGAGCTCAAAATAGTGGAAATGTTCAATTTTTGCCGATGTTCAAGAGTAAACAAATCATGCTACGCTTCCAATACACGTCAACTGTGGGTCTAATATGCTTTCACAAATGCACTGATATTATTTATACAATTTTTTACAATAATCCATTAGTCTGCATAACAGTAAATCTTCTATTTTTTGTGTGCATAAAAATTCAAAATGGAAAGCAAGCGTAATATAAGAGGGGGCCTGGAGATGTGGACTAATGAACAGAGAAAATGTTATTTTAGTGCTAGGAATGTTTGTATTGTTAATTCTGGACCCTATTTTGAAACTGGCCTTACTTGAATTGTGCATGAAATTTGAATTTGCCAAATTACCAATTTCTGATCACTATTGGGTAGTTGAAATACATAAATGGGCGGTTTCATGTACTCAGTCGATAGAACAAATGGAGTTCTAGTGAAACAGCTATGAGTTTGGTTGATTGGAACAACGAAACTGTCCGAAAATAGGGCTCAAAGTGGGCAAAATCGCCAATGCGTAAATATCGCCGAGACCACTAACTTTGTGAGAGCGTAATTCTGCATGTTTTCCATCAAATTTCATACTTTTGGTTTCATTACCATCAGGAAAAGATTCTCTATCATTTCATAAGAATTTTTTTTTTTTTTTGAAAATTCTTCGATACTGAGAGCAGTTTGTGAGCAGGGGTCTCGACAGTGAAAGGGTCAAAAGACATTGTGACTAACAAATATAAAGCTCTATAATCATTCATATAAGTAAATGATTGTGATGTAAAGGATCTGAAATTACAAGCAAATTCAAGGGGAGAACACATACCTATATACAGATGAATCTGAAGTTGATCGTGACCAGGAAACCATGAAGTCTTTCTGTTGAGATCCTTTATTGTCTATTAAGGCTTGTGTTATGTCATCAGGACTCATAGAACAGATAACAGCACGAACTACAAACCTTAAGAGAAACTACTTTTAATACCGTGAATAATGCTCTTTAATAAATAAATATATAGCAATGCTAAAAAGTAATTAAAAGGCGTGTTCATTTTTCTGTATAGTATATAAATACTGTATTATCAGAGTTAACTACTACTGCATCCTTAAGTATCTCACTAAATTAAGTCCTTGTACAGTGCTGTAAACATGTATTTTTTCATTGTAATATAACAATTAAAAATATTTTTAACCTTAATTTAGTAATGGTACTGCTTAATTTTTAGAAAAATTCCTATGCTCCAGTTCTTGGATTCACTTTTAACATTCTTACTTGGTTCTCTGTTATAATTTATCAATTTCCAATGTAAAATGTACATCTTTATCAAATTATAATTTCTCTCCACATACAAAACACCAGTTAGTGAATATTTTGTAAATACAGTAACATTTACCAATAAAATAAAAAATGTGGGTTCCTTACCTTGGCAGGACTGCAAGTGTAGCAGTAAGGATAATAGTTAGCCAATGCAAGGGAGATCTCAGAGCATACGCCAACTCGCCATACTGGCTAGGTTCCCCTAAGCAGGCAACACAAGTCATGGTGTACAGAACACCAAAACCATAGAACATTATGAAGGACAATACTAATCCAAACACAAGAATCACAGTCTGGAAAGGTTAAAGTGCATCACACATGGAAAAACTAAATTCTTATTAAAACTTTATAGCCAAAATTGTATGCTAATCTAACATGCATTTAATTTAGTTTTAGCAGCAATTTGCAAAGATTACAACAGAATATAAACTGAGATAAATTAGTATGCATACATTCATAAAAATATTAGTAAACTCACCCATGATTTGGTTTCAATGGCAATATGCAATGATTGTGCAATAAGACAAGCATGCGTGACAGTCATGCCAAACTGGTACATCCCAGTATTTGAATCCTCATGGAGCTGTTAGAAATATATAATACATTCATGAGATACAACAAATAATATATGTAATTACAAACTGGCAAAATCTGGAGGAAGGGGGAAAAAACAGCAGGAAATAGAAAAGAGATGGAGAGACAAAGGAAGGACTTGCAGTATAATGCAGTCAACACTAGTATATCCATGTCCTAAGCCTAACAATATCAATGCAGTCTTCTTAAATATGCAGATCCTTTATACTTATGCATCAGCAACAGTTTTGGGAAGTGCCAAAAATTAGTAGAAATGCCAAATTTTTTCATTCACTAAAGTCAAGAACATACATTTATTAAGAATGACTGATTAATTTAATGATTAACTGACAAACACCTAGGGAATTAGAGAAGAGCAAAGAAAACTTTTTTTAATTACTAGCCTTAGAAAGTCAATAACCTAAGAGAATTTGAGCAGTGTGGCTTATTTCCATTGTGGTTCTTATATCCTCTTCCCTAGAATGAGAGCCACAACTGCTGACTAACTCCAAAGTATCTACTTAACCCTTAAACTGTCCAAACAAATTTATGTTCACATGTATGGTGCTCCAAAAGTAGATCAAAGTTTTTTTACACGTTTTCAAATGTAAAAAAAGAAAAGAAGATCTATGTCTTTTTACATACTTTCAAATGTTGAAAAAAGTGCATTAAGTACAAGGATACCTGATCAAATGTCTTTTCCTTCAATCTTAGTGTGCTATAATTATATTAATATTGCCACTGAACTCAAAGCAGCTAGCATACTGCACTGCTGGGTAGCCAGAAGGCTCCTAGATACACAGCCAAACTCCATACCATGTTGAATGCCCAGCTTCTCATCCAATTAGCCAAGTTATGCAATGTTGGGTTTGATTAGTACTTGGATGGGTGACTGCCTGGGAACACCAAATACAGTTGGCATTCATTTTTTAAGGTATCCCATGGCTTAGTTGGCAATGCAATTGCCTCACACTGAGTGTCTGTGGTTCAATCCTTGGCATGGGTGAAAATGTTTGGCATGTTTCCTTACACCTGCTGTCCCTGTACATCTAGCAGTAAGTAGGTACCAGGGTGTTAACTGACTGTTGTGGGTCACATCCTAGGGGTACAAGATTAAAGGGCCCCAATGGAAATAAGAGTGTCCACAATGACTCACTGACTATTAGGTTATCCTGAGTGTCTAACCCTCCAGGTTAAAAATCCAAACAAATCTTATCTAAGACCCCTTGAAGCACCATTTATTTGTAAAGCAGACCCTTGAATAACGCAGTAGTTACATTCCTGAAAGTGTGTTACACAAAATCATGTTCAGCAAATTCAAGAACACTGGGAAAAAAAAAGGGTTGTGTGCTAAGGACCTATAAAGATGCCAAACAAGAAATTTAAGAAAAAATATTTCACATAAAATAATAAAATTTTTGACACGTTACATTGTAGATATCATTGTTTGCAACCAAATCCTAAATAAAAACTTAAGTTACTAAATAAATTTACTTAATAAGGTCCAGGGGAAACTGGTATTTGATGCAGTACACAACCTATTCCTTCCAGAGAAAATGGAAATGGCATTCCATCCAGAGAAAACTGAGCTAATATGCCACCAATGACTATTATACATTTAATACACAGTCATACCAGTAAAAATAAATTGCAAAAAATGTAACTGGAAAGAATTTAACTCTATATTAAATTCTTTTTTTTCTCTTTCTTGTATATATAGAAGTGTTTGGAGGGTGATAATTAATGCTACTAGGCCAAAGTCTGTCTCTTACTGATAATGGTCTAAGATAAATGGTGGTGTATTCTGTACATATAGTGAGTTAACACAGTATATACCCAGGATGAGGCATTTCTACTTGTCAATTAATGTAGGTTTTTGTCATGGCTGAAGATATGATGCAAACAGTTACTTATATGTTAAATACATTTTTAATAAAATACTTTACAGCAGAGAGGAAAAACTGGCACTTTGGTTAAGTTAAAAAAATGAAATGTATGAAAATAAAGATGTAACAACTAATACAAAAATATCATATATGGATAAATGAGTCAACTTTTTTTTACAAAACTAGTTTCAGAAAATGTAAATTACAAAATCGGAAATCCCTACAGGTATTTAATTTTAAGCAAACTTGGTTAAATATTAGAAAATACTGCAGTAAGACACTGTCACAATGCATATTCATTAAATTATTTACTTCTGTGGAATAAACGAATACAGTTTTATTAAATGAAGAGTTAGAGGTATTGGGAAGATAGAGAGAATATTTTGAGGAATTGTTAAATGTTAATGAAGATAGGGAGGCTGTGATTTCGTGCATAGGGCAAGGAGTAATAACATCTTGTAGGAGTGAGGAAGAGCCAGTTGTGAGTGTGGGGGAGATTCGTGAGGAAGTAGGTAGATTGAAAGGGGGTAAGGCAGCTGGGATTGATGGGATAAAGATAGAAATGTTAAAAGCAGGAGGGGATATAGTTTTGGAGTGGTTGGTGCTATTATTTAACCCTTTCAGGGTCCGTCCCGTAGATCTACGGCTTTACGTTCAGGGTCCAAACCGTAGATCTATGCCATGAGCTCAGCTCACTCTGATAAACTGTGAGTGGTACATTTGGGCCTAGATATGAGAGAATACATCTATGTGGTATGTGTGCACCACATAAAACAGATCCTGCAGCACACTGTGTATAATGAGAGAAAAAAACTGAAATCATGATTTTTCGATTAAAACAGCGACTTTGCAGTGTTTTTTCGTATGTTTTTTATAGTTGTATTTGCGATTTCTTGGTCTCATTTGATAGAATGGAAGACATATTACAGAAATAGAGATGATTTTGATTGGTTTTAGCACTGGAAATGGCTTGAAACTGAGCTCAAAGTAGCGGAAATGTTAAATTTTTGCCGATATTCAAGAGTAAACAAACGACCTCACACATCTAATACACGTCAGCTGGTGGGTCTAATATACATTCACAAATATGGTGATGATATTTATACAATTATTACTGTATTGCATAACAGTAAATCTTCTATTTTTTGGTGTGAATAAAAATTCATTATGTGAATAAAAAATCAAAATGGAATTTATTTGTAAAGCCTCAAAATGTAACTAATGAACAGAGGAAATGTTAGTTTAGTTCCAGGAATACCTACATTGTTTATTCTGGAGCCTATTTTGAAATTGGAATATTTTGAACTTTGTGTTAAATTGGCCAAATTAACAATTTCCAATCACTTTATTTTGTAGTTGAAAACAGTTGACTTGGCGATTTCTTGTGCTCAATCGATAGAATAGAAGTAATACTAGTGAAATAGCTAAGAATTTGGTTGATTGGAATAATGTAATTGGCCTAAAATGGGAGTCAAAGTCGGCAAAATCGCCGATTCGTAAATATCGCTGACACATCAAAATTCGCGAGAGCATAATTTCGTCAATTTTCCACCAAATTTCGTACTTTTTGTTTTATTACCTTCACAAAAAGATTCTCTACGATTTCATAAGAAAAAATATTTTTTTTTTTTTGAAAATTCTTGGACACTGGGGCACCACTTCAGATTTGGGCCTTGGACCCTGAAAGGGTTAATAAATGTATGGAAGAGGCAGAAGAGGGGTTGTTGAGGTGGTTTGGTCATTTAGAGAGAATGGATCAAAGTAGAATGACATGGAAAGCATATAAATCTATAGGGGAAGGAAGGAGGGGTAGGGGGTCGTCCTCGAAAGGGTTGGAAAGAGGGGGTAAAGGAGGTTTTGTGGGCGAGGGGCTTGGACTTCCAGCAAGCGTGCATGAGCATGTTAGATAGGAGTGAATGGAGACGAATGATACTTGGGACCTGACGATCTGTTGGAGTGTGAGCAGGGTAATATTTAGTGAAGGGATTCAGGGAAACCGGTTATTTTCATATAGTCGGACTTGAGTCCTGGAAATGGGAAGCACAATGCCTGCACTTTAAAGGAGGGGTTTGGGATATTGGCAGTTTGGAGGGATATGTTGTGTATCTTTATACGTATATGCTTCTAAACTGTTGTATTCTGAGCACCTCTGCAAAAGCAGTGATAATGTGTGAGTGTGGTGAAAGTATTGAATGATGATGAAAGTATTTTCTTTTTGGGGATTTTCTTTCTTTTTTGGGTCACCCTGCCTCGGTGGGAGACGGCCGACTTGTTGGAAAAAAAAAAAAGAGGGTAAGGTACCTAGGGATTGGCAGAGAGCATACATAGTTCCTTTGCATAAAGGCAAAGGGGGTAAAAGAGTGCAAAAATTATAGGGGAAGAAGTCTGTTGAGTATACATGGTAGAGTATGGTAGTCATTATTGAAAGAATTAAGAGTAAGATGTAGAGTAGGATAGCAGATGAACAAGGAGGCTTTAGGAAAGGTAGGTGGCGTGTAGACAAAGTGTTTACAGTGAAACGTATAGGTGAACAGTATTTAGATAAGGGTAAAGAGCTTTTTGTGGCATTTATGGATTTAGAAAAGGCATATGACAGGGTGGATAGGGGGGCAATGTGGCAGATGTTGCAGGTGTATGGTATAGGAGGTAGGTTACTGAAAGCAGTGAAGAGTTTTTACGAGGATAGTGAGGCTCAGGTTAGAGTATGTAGGAGAGAGAGAGATTATTTCCCAGGAAAAGTAGGCCTTAGACAAGGATGTGTGATGTCATCATGGTTGTTCAATATATTTATAGATGGGGTTGTAAGAAAAGTGAATGCTAGGGTCCTGGCAAGAGGTGTGGAGTTAGAAGATAAAGACTCAAACACAAAGTGGGAGTTGTCACAGTTGCTCTTTGCTGATGACACAGTGCTTTTGGGAGATTCTGAAAAGAAGTTGCAGAGATTGGTGGATGAATTTGGTAGGGTATGTAAAAGAAGAAAATTAAAAGTGAATATAGGAAAGAGTAAGGTTATGAGGATAACAAAAAGATTAGGTGACGAAAGGCCGGATATCAGATTGGAGGGAGAGAGTATGGAGGAGGTGAATGTATTCAGATATATGGAGTGGATTTGTCAGCAGATGGGTCTATGAAGGATGAGGTGAATCACAGAATTGATGAGGGGAAAAGGGCGAGTGGTGCACCTAGGAGTCTGTGGAGACAAAGAACCTTGTCTGTGGAAGCAAAAAGGAGAATGTATGAGAGTATAGTTGTATCAACACTTTTGTATGGGTGTGCAGCATGGGTGATGAATGTTGCAACGAGGAGATGGCTAGAGTCAATGTGTGGTGTGTATATAATGCAGAGAATTCGTAGTTCGGAAATTAGGAGAAGGTGTGGGATTACCATAACTATTATCCAGAGGGCTGAGGAGGGGTTGTTGAGGTGGTTCGGACATGCAGAGAGAATGGAACAAAACAGAATGACTTAGAGAGTGTATAAATCTGTAGTGGAGAGAAGGCAGAGTAGGGGTTGGCCTAGGAAGGGTTGGAGGGAGGGGGTAAAGGAGGTTTTGTGTGCGAGGGGCTTAGATTTCCAGCAAGCGTAAATGAGCATATTTGATAGGAGTGAATGGAGACAAATGGTTTTTAATACTTGACATGCTGTTGGAGTGTGAGCAAAGTAACATTTATGAAGGGATTCAGGGAAACCAGCAAGCCGGACTCCTGGAGATGGGAAGTACAGTGTCTACACTCTGAAGGAGGGGTGTTGCAGTTTTATAACTGAAGTGTAAAGCACCACTCTGGCAAGAGAGTGATGGAGTGAATGGTGATGAAAGTTTTTCTTTTTCGGGCCACCCTGTCTTGGTGGGAATCGGCCGATGTGTTAATAAAAAAAAAATTTTTTTTTACTTCAATGGCCATCTCCCACCAAGGCAGGATGACCACCTAAAGAAGAAAACACATTCAGCATCATTCATTGAATCTCTGTCTTGTCTGGAGTGTGCTGACATCACAATATAGATTACCCTCTGACTGCAACATCCCCACCTCTCCCTCAGAGTGCATGACATGGCCCTTCCCACCTCAAGAACTAAGGCCGGCTAATCGGTTTCCCTGAATCTTCTTGTAAAAGTTAGCTTGTTCACACTCCAATAGCACGTCCACTAAAAGCCACTTAGTTTCCATTCACCCCTATCTGACATTCACAGAGTCTTCTGGATGCTCAAGCTCCTGAGCTCAATCACTTTTACCCCCAGCCTGTAACCATTCCTGAGACTTATACACTTGATGATCCCCCATTGTCTTTTAACCCTTAAGCTGCCCTTAACATACTAAGACATCATGGGAGTCAAGTGTTCCTGATGTACAGTAGGGCCCCGCTTTACAGTGTTTTGCCTTATGGCATTCCACTAATACGGCGATGTCAAATTATGACCAAAATTTGCTATACGTTCTCCGTGACCACATCTATTATTTCAGGAAACTTTCCAAAATTTCAAGTGTTTTACTATTGAGTATTTTATATGTACTCTGATAATTATACTTATGTATACCTGTACCTAAATATACTTACACACTGTGCTGGTGTGCAGGTACACATTAAAATCGCTAAGAGTCTCTATTCATGACACCAATAGTACGTAATAATCATCACTCTAGGGCACACTAAATGTCTTACTTTACATTACTATAGACATTTTCATTAATCCATCTATGATATTTTCCTCAAAATTATATATGAAACACGTTACATAGCATATAAACATGATACACACACTCACAGAATAAAAATTGACGTAAATATGAGATGTTTACAAAGTGGCTGTGTAGGAAGTGTTGGAAGAATTACGTTTTCTCTAGTCAAACACTGGGGGATAACTGTAGAAAAATATTCCTTTCGTATGCCTTCACTCTATATATAGCAATTCATGACCCTTGTGGGTTTAGTGCTTTTTTATTATGATGATAATATCATCATCATCTTCATTCACTCTAAAAATGGTGTGTTGCATGAGAATGGGAGTATTGCTGTTTGTTTCTGTACAAACTTGTACACAATGTAAGAGTATTTGTATTGTGTGGTAATTATTATTATAATAAAAAAAATACTGTGAGGTAAAAGTTTTACAAACTCTTACAAACGTACATGAATGAACTAAGAGTAGACACACACTAATACGCATTTATTTCGCCTGACAAAGTGATCGCCCACCACCTGTTTAGTTTGTGTTCTTACACTGTCTGAACTCTGTATCTCGTTCTCTCTCTCTCATTTACTCTTTCGTTAACTAGTTGGCTCTCACTGACGATGGTGTCTAAGCTTAGCTGTGATAAAAAGAGGAGTCATAAGCCTCTTGCTTTAAGTGCCAAGTTAGAGGATGATGGTGTGCCATTCTGATTTTATTCAACAAACACCCTGCCACTCACCTCTCACACATTAATATTAATATTTTAAGGTAAGTAATAAGTGTACTCTGTGTGTATCTTACCTTTTATTGTGTTTTTAATGCCTATTTCTATTGCTAACTTAATATAAGTTAGTGTAAACTCGTTGTCTGGCATTTATTGCATATTTTATATGTGCTCTGATAATAATACTTGTGGACTTGTGTGGTAGCCGGGTGGAGGAATAACATATGTTTTCTCTGGTCAGGCACCAGAGAAAATGTGTATGAATCTGCGTTTGGCCCAGCCACTCCCCACTCCTCTTCTGTTTACAATTTTCGGCATGAATTATTCACTACTTCTCCCCTCATTTATGATAGTATTTGAAGGTAGTTGTTAGAAACGATTAAATTTAGCGAGCAAGGTATGTCAATGCTAATAATATGGCTCTGGGCCACAGTGTAGGTAGCTGGTAGGTGTAGCCCAGGGGGGCTACACCTACCAGCTACCTACACTAACTTCGTACAAATAAATACTGCTCACCTCTCTTCCTACATTAAGACAACATATATTTTAACGTAAATAATGAGTGTACGGTATGTGTATTTTAACACTCTGGGCTGTTTTAAATATCGTATATTAAGTACGAGACAGGGAGCCAGGGCTACCTACACCTGACTTCCTACAAATAAGTACTACTCACCTCTTGCCCTACATTAAGATTACAAATACTTTAAGATAAGTAATGAATGTACTGTGTATGTATTTTACTTTGTGTTTTTACTGCCTAGTTCTATTACTAACTTAATGTAATTTAGTGTAAACTTGTTGTCTGGCATTTATAAATGGAAAAAATGGTGTTATGCTTTCCAGCGATAGCCTGGAACCTAACCTGCCGTATAAGTGGGACCCTACTGTATTACTACATCATAGTACATTCAAATTTGCTACTAGTAGCAAATTTTGGCCTGTGTAGTGGGTGTACACAGTATTAAAAAATCCTAAATCAATCAGCACATGATGGAAACAGCTAACCTCTGACCCTGCATTTGAGTTAAAATAGTAAATTTGGGTCATTTTTGAGGGTAGCTTGTGTGATTTTATTAGCCGTTTCTTGCTACAAACAGATAAAATGGAACACATGCTAAAGTAGGTGAAAAGATTCTGGTTGGCTTTAGGACCAGAATTGGCCCGAAATAGGGATCAAAATTGTTGAAACGGCTGTTTTTGGGTAATTTTCCTCAGAAGGGTACGGGCCTCCCTATTCCCTTTGGTCTGTTTTATGTCCAAGCATTCTTGATTATGGTTTATTTACTGAGAAATAAAGAAAATATTTTTTTTTTGTTTGATGACAGATTCAAAATGGAGGGCAAGTGTTATATTGGAGAGACCTGAGGACTTGATAAGTGAAGAAAGAAAGATTGCTTTAGTGGCTGGAATGAATACAGTGTTTGTTTCGGAGTCTGTTTATAAGCTGTAATTTATTGAAAAATAGCAAAATAGCTAGTGTGCCTCAAAGTATGCAAAATCACTTTTGTGTAATGTGGTCCATGACTACCAACTTGGTGCTTGCATAATTCCATGTGTATTATATACAGAACATAAAATTTGGGGTTTTTGGTGTCATTACTTTTTAAAAAAAATTCTCTATCATTTAATTTTTTTTTCCTAGAACTTGTGGACACAAACAAGGATTGCAATTTGAGGAGTGAAGACAGTTTAAAGATTAAATTCTACACTGCGAATTCGCTTAATGATAAATGATATTCGCACTACACATTGCTCTCGAACATGGCATCTCTACTGCCTCTAACTGCCTCCTTGATGGTCAATTATTCAGCAACAATTATGAGTTTCATTCATTATTCCAATACTAAAAATTAATCAGGCATTATTAGCCAACCCTTTCTACAGTTTAAAATAAATCAAACTTACGACAGCAGAAAAGAAGAAGAGAACAATGGATTGGTAAACAGCATCCAGGATATTGACCCAGAAGGAGTGAGGTTTGTAGAGGCGACCTTCCCGTCCCTGGACATATAACCGTGGTTGGGCAAGAAGTACTTCTGCTGGTGCATCCTTATCATAGATCCCTGTTCAAAATATTTGTTATATCTTGAGTGTTCTTTATAGAAAAGCACATTAAACATGTCATTACCAGTTACCAACATATTATATGTTCTTTGGCTTTGCAGTACAGTGGTACCCCGAGTTTCGTACAGCTTACAACTAGAACAATTATGTAAGTGTATTATTGTAAGTGCTTTTGTAAGTGTATTTTAGGAGGTCTGAAACTGTCTAATCTAATTTACATTATTCCTCGTGGGAACAAATTCGTTCGGTACAGGCACTCGAACAGCCTTCTGGATGAAATTAAGTTTATAACTCGAGGTACCACTCTATATACAAACCCCTCTGGGTTTTCTTCTATTTTCTTCTTAATTCTTGTTTTTGTTTCTTTCCGCTTATCTCCATGGGGAAGTAGAATGGAATTCTTCCTCCGTAAGCCATGCATGTCATAGGAGGCGACTAAAATGCCAGGACCAAGGGGCTAGTAACCCCTTCTCCTGTATATATTACTAAATTTAAAAAGAGAAACTTTCATTTTTCTTTTTGGGTCACCTTGCCTCAGTGGGATATGGCCAGTTTGTTGGAATAATACCACTACTACTAATAATAATAATTCAGCAATACACCTTTGTCCCACCATGATCTGCTGGAAACTTAAATTACACATTAGCATAAATTAAACAAGTTTATGATTAATGTACCTACAAAGATGGTTGCAGTACTACCACTCCTAATGTGGTAAATTTTACTAGAGTGGCAATACAAGCATTAAACACAATGCCAACAGTGACTACCTGGTAAACTATTTTTCGAAAAAAGTATTCTCTTAACCCTTTCAGGGTTTCGGCCGTACTAGTACGGCTTACGCCCCAGGGTTTTTGACGTACTAGTACGCCTAAATTCTAGCGCCCTCAAATCTAGTGAGAGAAAGCTGGTAGGTGTGGTCAGTGTGCGCAGTATAAAAAAATTCTTGCAGCACACAGTGCGTAATGAGAAAAAAAAACTTTGACCGTGTTTTTGGATTAAAACAGCGACTTTGCACTGTATTTTCGTATGGTATTTATTGTTGTATTCTAGTTTTCCTGGTCTCATTTTATAGAATGGAAGACATATTACAGAAATTGAGATGATTTTGACTGGTTTTACAATGAAAAGTACCTCGAAATTGAGCTCAAAGTAGCAGAAACATTCGATTTTTACCAAAATTCAAAAGTAAACAAATCATGCCAAGCGTCCAATACACATCAACTGGTGAGTCTAATATTCTTTCACAAGTGTGCTGATATTATTTATACCATTTCTACACTAATGCAGTAGTCTGCATAACAGTAAATCTTCTATTTTTTGTAAGAATAAAAATTCAAAGTGGAAAGCCAAAGAAATATAAGAGGGGCCTGGGGATGTGACTAATGAACAGAGAACTTGTTATTTTAGTGCCAGGAATGTCTTTCTTTTTTATTCTGGACCCTAATCGGAAATTGGCATCTTTTGAAATTTGTGTGAAATTGGCAAAATTGCTAAATTCTGACCACTTTATTGGATAGTTGAGATCGGTAAATGGGTGGTTTCTTGCACTCATTCGATAGAAAAAAATGGAGTTCTAGCGAAATAGTTATGATATTTGTCGACTAGTACACTGGAATTGGCCGAAAATAGGGCTCAAAGTGGGCAAAATCGCCAATGCGTAAACATCGTCGAGACCGCTAACTTCACGAGAGCATAATTCCCTAAGTTTTCCATCAAATTTCATACTTTTGGTGTCATTATGATCGGGAAAAGATTCTCTATCTTTTCATAAGAATTTTTTTTTTTTTTAAATTTGGGGACCCTGAGAACAAGTCTCGAAGAGGACCTGGCGACCCTGAAAGGGTTAATTTTGTCCAAGCTGAAAAAGGTCCCAGTCAGTCTGTGCAATTAAATCAGTGTTGCACATGTATCGGTATTTATTGAACAACAGTCTTTTTAATTATTAATGTTATGTTACGTTATTAATGTTATGTTATGGAGGGATATACATGTATTGTGTATTTTTATACATATACACAGTGGACCCCCGAGTTTCGTCAGCAACAACTTTTGTGAAATCCGACTTTCGGCAAGTTTTTTCGGCAAAATTTAGCCTCGCGGTTCGTGATTGGACTTGTGATTCAGCAACCGTCTGGTACCCATCCGCCCATCACCACGCACACAAAGCCAGTCTCCCACACCATTCACACTCAGTGTGCCATTGTTTATCAGCAAGTGACCATCACCCTGTGGGCTCATACAATACATTTCATAATAATCCATTGCTTTTGTGCTTGCAATTGCTAAATAAGTCACCACGGGCACAATGAAAGCTAGTGCAAGCCCTTTGGTAAAGAAAGTGAGGAACACAATCAAATTCAAGAAGGAAATCAAGAGAAGGATTATGAAGGGTTTGGGGCTGACCCTAAGGAGCCTATGCCAGTTGTGGAATCTATTGTGGCATTGGGGAAGTCCCTGGGGTTGGAGGTGAGTGGCAAAAATGTGGAAGAGTTGGTGGAGGACCACAGGGAAGAGCTAACCGCTGAAGAGCTGCAAGAGCTTCATCTGCAACAGCAAGAGACCACAGCTCAGGAAATTGCTGCAGAGGAGGAGGAAGAGAGATGGAGGAAGGTGCCTTCTTCAAAGATTAAGGACATCTGTGCAAAATGGACAAAAGTGCAAACATTTATGGATGAACTTCACCCTGACAAAGCTGTTGCAGGCCATATTGGCAACATGTGCAATGACAGTGTTGTGTCCCACTTCATACAAATCTTAAAGAAACGCAAGAAACAGAGCTCTCTGGACAGATATTTTGTGCAACAGGGGTCCAGTGACTCAAGTTGTTCCAGTGCCAGTGTCTTTAAAAAATAAAGAAGGGAAGTAACCCCAGATAAGGACTTGGTACCTGAAGTCCTAATGGAAGGAGATTCCTCTTCCAAACAATAGTGTACACCGTCCTCCTATCCCCTTCTCCCGTCTTCCATCCACCCAGAAGTCTTCAGTAAAGGTAAGTTTAATGTTATTATTATTTTACATATGTATGTAGAGAATAGATCAAAGTAGAATGACATGGAGAGCGTATAAATCTGTAGGGGAAGGAAGGCGGGGTAGGGGTCGTCCTCGAAAAGGTTGGAGGGAGGGGGTAAAGGTGTTGTTGTGGGTGAGGGGTTTGGACTTCCAGCAAGCGTGTTAGATAGGAGTGAATGGAAACAATTGGTATTTGGGACCTGACGATCTGTTGGAGTGTGAGCAGGGTAATATTTAGTGAAGGGATTCAGGGAAACCGGTTATTTTATATAACCGGACTTGAGTCCTGGAAATGGGAAGTACAATGCCTGCACTCTAAAGGAGGGGTTTGGGATATTGGCAGTTTGGAGAGATATATTGTGTATTTTTATACGTATATACTTCTAAACTGTTGTATTCTGGGCACCTCTGCAAAAACAGTGATTATGTGTGAGTGAGGTGAAAGTGTTGAATGATGATGAAAGTATTTTCTTTTTGGAGATTTTCTTTCTCTTTGGGTCACCCTGCCTCGGTGGGAGACGGCCGACTTGTTGAAGAAAGAAAAAAAAATATATATATATGTACTTGATTACTCATTGTTTTCTGTATGCAAATCTTTATTTAATTTGAAAAAAATATTTTAATTTAATATTTTTGGGTGTCTGGAATGGATTAATTTTATTTCCATTGTTGCTTATGGGGAAAATGGTTTCGCCATTCGGCAGACTCTGGAACAGATTAATCACGAAACTCGGGGGGTCCACTGTACTTCTAAACTGTTGTGTTCTGAGCACCTCTGCAAAAACAGTGATTATGTGTGAGTGAGGTGAAAGTGTTGAATGATAATGAAAGTATTTTCTTTTTGGGGATTTTCTTTCTGTTTGGGGATTTTCTTTCTTTTTGGGTCACCCTGCCTCGGTGGGAGACGGCCGACTAGTTGAAAAAAAAAAAAAAAATACTTTGACAAATGATCCAAAGAGGATCACTTTGAAATACAACACTAACATTATACACCAGAAAAAGCAATCATAAGAGTAACAAAGAAAAGATACCTAATAAAACAATCCTGTTATCAGACAACCATGCAACCCTAAGTAGGTCAGATTCTAAAAAGTTAGCTATTTCAAGTGACAGGTATTTATACAGTATATGGCACTGTACTGTACCACACAGTAAACCAGGAATCCTACTAAACTCTAAAATGAAGCAAAGAAAGTTGAAAACAAAAATAATGATTAATTACCAAATACAATAAATGTATTTAACCCTTAAACAGTCCAAACAGATCAACGTTCAAATTCGTAGTGCTACAAAAGTAGATCTACTTTTTTTTACATATTTTCAAATATAACAAAAAAATGCAGATAAGAGTATTTTTTACATGTTTTCACATGTAAAACAACAAAAAAAAAAAGATCTACATTTTTTTACATACTTTCAGATGTTGAAAAAACGTATATATATACGTTGGACCATTTTAGGGTTAAAACATTACAAAATTAATTGTGAAAATTTTCAAGAATATTACATACTTAATGGGCAATCAAGGAAACTCTGAAGCAGGGAATGAGCTGTTATAATAGCATACATAAACATCTTACAAAACACAGTCAAATGCATCCGCTTCAGGTTCAATAATTAACCTTTAAAAAATTTTACTCTTATATGCCCAGCCATTCCCTGCACCAGTATGTTAATTTTATTTGTGGTGCTTTGCTGCTAATATTTTTGACAAATTCATGGAGGTCTGAGTCTGAACCATTACATTATAGCCAATTTTAAATTTTATATTATAAATTTTTTTGGCCACAAAATAGAGCGAAACACCAACGTCAAAGACCTGGGAGTGATCGTGTCGGAGGATCTCACCTTCAAGGACCATAACATTGTATCAATCGCCTCTGCTAGAAAAATGACAGGATGGATAATGAGAACCTTCAAAACTAGGGATGCCAAGCCCATGATGACACTCTTCAGGTCACTTGTTCTATCTAGGCTGGAATATTGC